TGACGAAGACGAAAGCGTTGAAACCCGTTGAAGGCCGTTGAAGGCCGTTGATACTGCTAATAAAGGACCACCTATCAACCTGTACGGCACTAAAAGAACACACAATATTTACGAAGAATGCCCAGGTTCTAAACAGACCGAATTGGAAACTACTCTACCTTCATTTTTTTCTATCATTTATTTTTTTGACAAGAACGATGCTGCATACTCGAAAACCTCCATTCTACCGTTTGCAAAAATTCAAAGATCAAATTTCCTGTGCAATAACATTTTGTTTACCTAAACAGACAAATGTAGTAAGACGGTACGTTCGTTTTCTTTGACTTAGTTCAAAAAGCCAACAATATACGTTTTACACAAGCTATTATAATAACTTCGCTTCAAGAGAGCATTTGCCTTCAGACATTTCCGCCCGCAAGTTGTTGTTATTTTCACATAAAGAGGGCGACGATTACATGCTCCAATGCAAGTGGCGCCAGAATATTGCATATCTATGTTCGCACATTTGGTCAACAGGCTATTAAATGCGAGATAAAGCAGCGCTAGATTGAAGTTACGCAAATGTCTGCCGAAATTACACAGCTCAAAACTTTGCTTTCATATGTGTTGCTGAGCTTTCGGATGTCAGACACATGTACATAATCTCTCTTTGTAAATGAGTTATGTGCGCGGACTGCTACCCCTAAGTCCAATTCGATGAAGTTTTTTTTGGCAGTCATGTACATTTCTTATATTACCAATTGTCTTCCTACTGAGACTTATTCTCTTTAGGTGAAATAAGCAAGAATAAACATTCTTGACAGCTTAGGCTAGCTTTTTTCCATGGTGCAGCGCATCGTAAAAAATTTTGTGTGTCTATCTTTTTGAAGCTTAAGTAAAGCTGAACTCTTCTGCCATTAACTGGCTGGTGTTGACCAATAAAGAAGTTTTCACAGATCTAATTTAAGTTTTTTTTAGAATAAGAACTACGACTCTTTCCAGATATGCATTGGATGATCTATTAGTTATTCATAATCAAGAAGAGTCAAGAATAGTTAGTATGTTGAAAAACACATATAATGATATCCTGGAACTTGAAGGTACTCCTCTTACAGATTTTCAGTGTAACTTTCTTGACCTTCATATCGAAATCATCAATGCGCAACAATATAATGAAACAGATCATTTTCGATTTAAGGTAAACGAGTGCACAGACGCTCATCTTATATATAAAGCTGAATGTCTGTTTGTCTGTCTGTCTGTCTGTATGTCTGTCTGTATGTCTGTCTGTACGCATGTTCCGAATAGAAAATTCCATTTCTGAACCGATCCGGACCAGACTTGGCACACATATACTTCGGGCCCCGGCGGGTGTCATGGGCTACTTTTCGTCATCGATCGATATCGATTTTATCGATTTTTTGCAAAAATTGAGCTACGGGGCTGGGAGTTGGCACAGGGGGTAATCGAGCATGCTGATTACGAATATAATAATGGCAGGGCCGGGCGGAGCCGGGTAAGTCAACTAGTTCTCATATAAGTATCAATATCGAAAGAACTATCATATATGGTGAGATTCTGAGAATTTACACAACTTGTACATTGTTCGAAAATTTTGTGGAAAGATTATTAATTGTCATAATCAACTGTTGGTGCAAGAACATTCGCCTAACATAAAAGCTAATGCGCTTATTAAATCTTTAACCTCTAACAAAAGTATTTCCTCCAAACATCTGGAATTATATTCTTTCAAAAACACTAAAAAATTTATTAGATTCTTTTTTCAAAAGTTAGACTTCTATGATCTTCAAATTTTGATCTGCATTTCCTTTGATCTTTTCGCTCCACCCTTAGCGTATAAATAGAGTTCCTCTAGCTCATTTCTATGTCTTTTTGCTATCACCACTCATCCCTGCTGATGAGCCTCGGAAGTGGTCTGCATTATACCCTAACCTCTAAGTCGCAGCTTAGGGGTAGAGGCGAAACAGACTGTATAGTACTCAAACACTTTACTCATCTACATATAAATCTAAACAAACAATATCATAGGCTTTCTCTCCGTCATGTATAATCTATTCTGTACATCTTGATGCAATCTTGCGCACTTTAGCAACAAGTTACAGATACAAATGATGAAATGAAGGAACATAACATCAGTTGAAATTTTTTATGTTATTTGCCTTTTTGTTATGCGTATGCAATATGTCCAACTCTCAACCTCACCTTTGAGCGTACGTTCCAATATAGAATTTTATGTAATTTTGGCTGAAATCTTACGATTTACCATACTATGAAGTCGTGCGGGGTGGATGATGGGAAACAGTCCTTTCAAGCCGCCAAAAAAGGCTCTTGTGACCAAGCTGCAAAAGTGATTAGCCAACTTGAAAAAAACTGAAAGCAAGTTGCCGATGCCCAAAAAAAGCTTGTTGGATTGCAATTTGTTCATTTATCCACCTGCTATGCATTGCTTCCACTTCCAGATGTTGAGACCGAGTTAAAGAAAAAGATGTGGCAACAACCATGCTTCGAAATTTCGGAGATTACTTTGATGATCACAAAACAAATGCTATGGAAAAATAAATGTTGAAAAGGGAAGAAAAACTTTATCGAATGGCCTTTGAAGTTTTCGCCATTTTCTGCTTCATTTTGTGAATGATCGAAAAAACGAAAAGAAATTCCGGGATGACCTAATATTAGGTACTCCACTACTCCTGCAACAAAAATTCTGAAACAGTAATCCTTCAGTTTTTCAAGTGGTTTGTTTCATTCATATGAAAAGACGATGTTACACGCTTCGTAATAATGCTTAAACAAAACTGCTTAGGGTATCACATTACAAGCTGATCAAAAACAGCACACAAAGCGCATTTTATGAAGAGCGGCTCTAGAAATGATATGTTCATTAATGACTATTTTACTTGATATTGAATTCGTGACCTTTTTATGTGCCTAGTCATGAATCTCATCTTCAAGCCTGTCTTTTAAATCTTGGAGTGACATCTCATACATATGATGAGATATGAAATCGATCATTTAACAAAATCATATAGGTTACCAGAAAAATAAGTTCGTTTTGACATGCAAATCCTCATTAAAAAATTTTTGTTGTTTCCTATTCATGATTTTTTTGTGAAAAAACAGCTCAAATTTTCCTCTATAATTTATCAATTATTTCAATATATTCTATTATCACCGTAGACTGCCCCAACACGGCTAACTTTCCAAAGCTCAATCTTTGATTTTCTAAGCTTCGTTTTCATGATGTAATGGATGTAAACGATAACAGTTTGGTATTTGGATAAAGAGGAGTTTTCTCTATTTAGTGAGTAACAATAAAAATTGTGATCCGCCATTTATAAGGTATAAGTAAAAGCTTCTTGCATGTTCATGCGATTATCCATTTTTGTAACGTATAATACTTCGAATAAGAAAAGTGGAGTATATGCATACCTCTCGAACTAATGTCCTTATGTATTTAGTTTCTTTTGGAGGTATGGTATTCATCAGTGTGTTTCTAGTGCTAGGTGAATGCGAAAAAAGTAATGAGCAATATGAGGGGGAGCCTGATGCAGATTGATCCGTTTCCTAATGCTGTAAATCCGTAAAAAAACATTGATTATGCTTGCCAGGTTTACAGGATAATGTTTTGAAGGCTCTAAACGGCAGGAGTTCGTAATGTGTATCACCTCAATGATCTCGCTTTGGTCTATCCAAAATAGCATCCTTCCATAGCATCCTCTTATGCTCCTTCGTACGTTCAAATTTTTTACAAACTAGGACACGATCCACAGTAAGTCTAAGAGGATATTCTGGTTGAGAACAGCTTTATATTGTGTTTTATATCGACCTATTGCGCAAGCAACGAGATTATCATGCCAATGGCAAGCTTCCCTTACGTAATTTGGAACTGCTAAATCTAGACCAAAATTTGCTTTCTTGTTATGCTTTCAGTTTCCGTCCACTTCTATAGCTGTTTGAAGACATTGGTTTCATTGACATGTAATTACGTTCACTTTGTTGAAGAGAGTCTGAAGCCATTCTGACAAGTCATAAATGAATGGCCAAATGCAGTTGAAGTTGATATTGTTGGTAGCGAGTTTTCATCATGAGCAATATGCTTTGTTTCGGACAAATACATCATTTTGCATCCCATAGTCTAAGCAGCAATTCACGCCTTGATTGCCGTGATGTTTCGGCGTGAATTACTGCGCCACCCTTTTTTCTTATGACATCATCTGAACGTCTCTTTTTCTCATTTCATTCACACTTTATATTTTGTGCTGAACAGCGTAAAGATCCTAATCTACGTAAAAAATTTCTTCAATATTCCACTTCCGTCTCTCCGTTTCGAGATGGCTGTATAACAGGGAGGGGGGGGGGAGCCAATTCCTCCCACAGAATGGAAAGTGGAGTTTGCGGAAGTTGCCTATATCAATTGTAAGTTTGCGCAAGCTAATTATTTCTACTTCTAAACAATTACAACCTTGAAATTTTCGAGAATTCAAATCCATTGCTTTTGGGGAGGGGGTCATAAACCTGGAAAGTTTTGGAAAACATCTTGAAAATGAGGGCGTGGCCTACGCCCCCTTTTTGACTAGAAATATAGAACAATAAAAAAGATTTATCACTTTCTTCTTCCTTCCCCCTCCCCTCTCCCTTCCCTCCCCTCGAAGAAATTTCTCGCACCTCTACTGCTGTATCCACACGAGAGCCAAACAACTGCCACTTTTCCTTAACTTCCTTATCATACAAATTAGAAGAGACATTCGTTACATTCGTTCCAAATGTTCTTCATAACCGCCATTCACTTATCTTTTTGCACTTTTTGTTCCCTTCCAACCGGTTTGTACGGATCCTCGTGATCGTTTTTATTGGGCAATTATCAAATTTATTGTTGTTATCTAATATGCATGACCACTTTCATTTCTCGAAGCCGTTACTGCCCTTTCAGATTTGTGTTTAGAACCTATCGTTGCTGAACTCATACAAGCTGATGTTCTTCCGATGACGAATGCGATAGAATGAGCGTCGTTCAGGTTAGCTGCTTCTGTGTAAATATCAGCTTGGCACAAAAGTTCTTGCGTAATTTTGAAATCAAAAACTTTCCGAAGCTTGACTAGCTAAACTTATAGTTCGGTTTTTAATGAGAGAAAAATCCACTCTATGATGTTTTCTAAGCGCATTTCGTTAATTAGCCTTGCAGAACAAAGTTAGTTTGGAAAAATCGAGATTTCGTGATTTTGATTTGGGCCACGAAACTAGACTGACGCTAGCCAGCATCAAAAGTCGTGGGAAATCCTTACATAGCGGTATTCCAAACGTTACTGAAGCAGGATTCACCTTTGCGTACAAAAGTATGAACAACAAGCAAAGTTGCGCTAATGCATTTTAACCAGAAAATACGTTTTACTAAAGACTGGGGCTTTGCAACACACACCCGAGACAAATTCTTAGTGCTTATTTGCAACACCTTTTTTCGGATGTGAGAATATGTTTTGCAATGAATTGCGATAATAAAGGAATCTCACCCGTATAAAAACGTTTTTCAAAAAATTTCATTTCTGCCTTTCAAACGGGATCAGTTTGTCAAACTAAGTATAGGATAGTACTAAAAAAATTTCGAACTGTTATCTGTTGGCAGCGGTGCTCCAGTATTATTGAGATAAAAACCCAACCACGAAATCTGAAGTGCCATCTTTGTTGTCCAAGGGTAGATACATAGCCAACGAGAAGTTGCGACTAACCGACTACAGTTTCTGAGCCTTCATCAAGTTTTATGAAATCAAAATATGTATTGATGAAGAGTTCAAAAAGTAGCGATATTAGAATCAGGCCAGAACTTTTGTATCGATCTAATGAATAATCAATAATCCCACAATTAGAGTTGTAATTATGAGAAACTGATGAAAGACATTTCAGAAATTGGGAGGACAACTATCTTTTTACCCTAAAATCTTTTTGCTAGATGCGATAAAATCATAGCTGAATGATTTTAATGCAAATTCACTGAATGCATGCCGTCAAATCACAACAATTTACATTGATTGTTGAATTCTGCCATTGAATATTGCTAGCGGAAGAATTCTATTGTCTTCTCTTATTTTCATATTGTTTCGGTTCTCAATAATGTCTGGTACTCTAATCGAGATAACAATTCAGTAAAGGTTTCAAACGGGTATATTGAAGGGTTCCTTGCGGGTTGCGATTTGCTTTCTGAAGCTCTTCCCATCAAGTTGAAAAAAAAACTTCGTAAACAAGTGCGTAGACGTCACTTCAAACAAATTGAAATAGCTTCCATGTTTTCCAAAACCGTGTTTTTGCTTTATATAAGAAAAAAGTGGTGATTTTCTGTTTCTGAGTCACTCGAATTTGGAAATTTGTAATTCCACTGGTGATTTCTCATCTGACGATGTCATTCTGGCACCTTACCTTGTCCCTGGTCAGGATTGTTGCTGCCTTAGATCAAAACTCCACCTCTTTATTTCATGCAAGTTTGATTACTTAGAAGAATGTCAAATGATATCGTGGAAGTGGGCCAAATGACTTTCATATCGTGCATCAATTGCAATTTGTGCAGAAAATAAGCCATTGCGCCACTACGACTCGAATTCCGCGGAATCCGCGTAGCTAATCTCTGAATTCTTTCAAGGCGGACCCTGCAGAGAGGAGGTTGGTCCTCGGCTATTTGTGCATGTTTCTTTGGAATGATGTGCTATCTTGGACTGCCGAGATGTGTATGTATGGCGTAAGAGGTCATAGTTTTCATATTTGTTGGGCAAAAAGTCATTTCTAGGATGTGGGCCACCAAAACCATTAGAAAATTTTACATTGCTTCTTTGAAATTTGAAAAATTCTTTAATCAACATGCTTCAGAATTCCATTATCATTCAAATGAAAGTAATTTTTTGCCGTTAGCATTTCAGAATTTGCTAATTTTCTAGCTTTATCAATATACCTTTTGTGTAAATCCCTACTTCAAATTTTGCAAGAATTTTTAAGTTATTCTAATTATTTACAAGTATAAGCAAGTTTTGCACATTGTTACTGTCAAATCGATAACAAGTGTCTAGAAATTTGCCATGAAAACTTGCAGTTTTGTAAGTGTTTTCAAAGTTTCTCCAAATCCATGACTGTTGCCCGTCACAAAATAGTGATAGCTTGCTACCGCGACAGGTTGAACACCAAGAAAAGTAAAGTATCAGTTAGAGGAAAGCTAGCAAAGCAAGCACTACAAGATGATTACCAAGGATTTGCATGAATAGTGTGAATATGCCGTGATGGTTGGATCTATGCCCAAGAAAATCTGTGGAGTTCTTAGAGTTCGTATAGCAAGACATAGCAGCCTTAGAAGTGTCTTCTCGAATTTTTAAGGCTAAAGAGTGGGGAGACTGCGAGTTTAAATGCAAAGTGTTGGGAAAACTTATGAAACAAAATTATTTGCATTTGTAAGGGTGTAATATAAAATCACCTGTGTGGGAAGAGATCCTTGGCAGGAACATGCCAACAATTTTTAGACAGAAAAAATTGCGGCAAGTTTATATAGGATATGTGCCTCCCAATGATACCTGAATATGAAATTCGTAGGATCTTTCTGAGCGGTAATTCATTTGGAGTACCTGAATGTTTTTAGTATACTTGGCTTCGAATTTTACATGGAACAGGGTCTGCTTTGCTCTAAGAGCGCTTTACAAATTTTTCAATGTTCATCAAATCGCGATGACATGGAAAGCATTGTTTTCGTGACAACCTAATGGTAAAGACCAACGATGATCTGTTTGATGCAGAAAGAATCGGCACTTAAATTCAGATGTCCATGCGCTGAAGTTAGATCAGAGAGCAGATTGCTTTCAGAACAAATATTGAAAAGTAACATCTTAAAACAAAGCCATCTCCATCTTTGAAATTTCGAATAGTTGATCGATGCATTGTCCAACGGTGACGCATTGACGGCGGATTAATCGTACATAATTGTCCCAAACTTGCCGAAAAACATTCTGCGTCAAACAATGCTAACTCTGGCTAGTCACTATAGTACTGCTTGCACTCCTCTCCTCTGCCGAATACGAAGCTTTTTTGGTAGAGCTTGACTTGAGAGATTGATGGACGATCAAATTATACAGCGAGGACAGGAAATAACAATACTAGCTATAAATGGAGTTAAGAGTTGTTTCAGAGGCAAGTCCATTTCGATTTTGAAACTTTGAAAAGTTACAATAATAATAAGATCCATTACCGTTTCAAGCAGGAAAATAAATCCAATTTATTAGATGGCAGCATACGACTTGTTGATTTTGATGCATGTAGATCATCTTCTTCTGGTCTTAATTTGTGACCTTCAAAACCTTCTTTCTTTTCAGTACTTACAGTCATGATGTTGACAACCTGACGCTTTTATTTTTTGATATTTTTTCGATCAGTATATTTCTATCATTTATTTTCAATTCTAGTGAACTAAAAATGATAGCTGTTGAACAGCAACAGCTAGGAATTGTTGTCTGCAGCAGTTTCAGATCTCCACTACTTATTGAACTCAAATTATCCTACTAATAAATTTATTTTATGTTTAAACAGTGTCAACCATCTGATGCTCCTTGGGCTATTACATAAGTTTGAGAACATATTCAAAAAAAGTCAACAATGACCGAAATTGTAAGCTAACACAATGTGGCAACTTCAATGTATATCAATCTTGTAAGCAAATCTAAGAGTGTCTTGCCACCTGAAACTCTTTTTCGGAATACAGAAGAGAAGAGTCTCATAAAACTGACGATAAAACTGCGTAGAAAACACAGATATTAAAATATTCCAGGCGCCAATATTTGTGACAACCATATCAACGCAGCCTTTCCCTGGTCGAACGCTGGATACAAATCCGAGAGGAGGTGAGGCATTTTCAGAACCTTAATCGATTAGTTCCGAGATATGCAGCTGCCAGTATGATTCTTTTGAATCTCGGATTTATTTGATCATCGGATTCAAAAATTGCTACGCGTTATCTTTTGCAGCCTGAGTTGTGGAAGCTATCAATCCTCAATTAGAGTCAATTTTCTAAAGTAGCTCTGTTGGCTATAGCTCTTCTTATTAGGACCAAAGCTTGGGTAGTGTAGGCTTTCGCTGTAAAATCAGTCAATCCTGCCGCCTTTGTTGTGAGCGATATGTCCGCAAGAGGTTCAATATGTGTACTCTTCTACTTTGAAATAGAAACACCGTCCACAACAGATTCGCTCTTCAATGAAGCGCATGTCTTTCTCATCCTATCTTTGGCTACTCAGAAAGTTGAAAGCTCTCAGCGGGCAGCCACAAAGCCGCCACCAATCCCCACCAAGAGCCCCCGCGCCGTATCGCTGCCACTGTGGATGCCCGCTGTATGCCATGTGGCTTCCACATCACTGTCGCTTCATAGCGGCCCGCTGACTGCCAGTTAAAGCAGCTCGCTCAATGCCATTCAAAGGATCCCGCCCACTGCCGCTTATATTAGCCCGCTCAGTGCCGCTTACCGCACTCTCTCCTTTTCGGGATCCACTACTCCTTCTGTACTTGCACTATAAACAAGCTAGGCATCATCTTTTATTAATCAATTGCCCGAAATAACGCGATACTTCCAGTAATTTAGTATACTGCAACAAGGCACATAACAACAACTCAACGACGAACAGATACAGAGGAAAGAAATCAACTAAGATCATTTAGAGTGTCTTAATACACGTACACGTAATGATACCTCAACAGCGAACAGGATAAAGATGAACGAAATGAGCTCACATTGATTGCCAACCTTTACTGCAACATAACAGGTAATAGCAAATCAACAGAGAACAAGATGCAGATAAACGAGATAAAGTCAAAATGCAAGATCAAGGCATTGAGGAGAAATGAAGATGTCCATGCGGGAAGAGGTTTGAGGTGTTCTGCTCCAAACAAAATAATATGATCATATGGTCATGTGTGTCATTGCACACACATTCCACGTTTGGCGTCCTCATCCTGAATTTGCAACAGCAAAAACGCAAGAGTTAACGATTGTTTTCGATTACATCAATTTAAGATTCGTATCTAAGAAGGAACGAAAACATTAAGAACACATTGAAAACTGTTGCCTAAAGATTTGTTTCCTCCAAGAGTCCGAAATGGGAACGCCAAACGTGGAATGTGTGTGCAGTGACACACATGATCATATGAATTGTTCGACTTTAACTTCACTTACAGCGGTCATGCAACCCAATATGTGCATCTGCACAAGACGCACCGCACCACACGACTCACAAGTCAGTAGTTGGTAACATCAGAAATCAGTTCAGAGTTCAGAGCGATGGAGAGCGAAAAACGTGACGAAATTGCCCCCTCTCTCTAGCTTTGAAGTGGTACATAGCTTGCCAATGCATTTCTCTTCTTTGCTCCAGAAAAGAGAGTGTAAGTTTAAAAAGACAGTTTGAGTCGGAAAGTGAGCGCAAAACCGTTGAGAATAAACTGTGAATTAGAACTTACCTGCAGCTGGTGATCCTTCATGGAACTTTTCTTGATTTTGAGGTGCTTCTACTCGCATCACGTCTCCTCGTTTATCCAAACTAAATTCTTCTTCGTCTGCACTGTCGCGTAAGCGTGAGATGGTTCGTAGCTTCGCGTATTCGTGTTCCATCTTGGCATGAAACATTTCTAGACATGATTGGTCATAAGCTGCAAATACTTATAAGCATCGATCTCGCTTCTACATTTTCTTGCTCCGGTGTCTTCGTATCGGGGACGTCTTTTGAGAGCCATAGAAACATGCCTAGGAGTTACTTGCAAAATTTCGGCACCGCTTTAAAAATAGCGATTGCAGAAAGAAAGCGTCGATCGCTACTGAAATGATATCGTTCGTGTGGATGATGACATCAAAAGGCTACTGAGTACAGAGTAAAGGTCGACGAGCATGTGAAAGCACTTAGTGTGGAATTGGTAAGACAAGTCATTATGGTAGGCGCCAACCCAGCCAGCGCCAGCTAAACACGAATTAAGCTTCAACCTTCAATTTCTTCAAAGTTCAAACAATTCATGGAGAAAGTACGGCACCCACTATCGTGGAGAGGACATATACAGAGAAGAAGCTAACAAAAGAATTTCTCTCCAAACTACACACCACGATCTCATCAAAAGAGAGTAGTGGTGCCATATTTGCTAAGCGAGATTACTGAATGCAATAGAGAGAGAGAAAATCTGTGGGAAAGCAAATGAGATGCATATAAGGATGAGATCAAGACGATAAGCTCGGATACTGACGGACGCACAGGAAGAATCAATGACTAATGACGCCGTGCTGTTTCTTGCAAAAGACACGTATATCTACATGTGCACAGATGAGCACTCCACAATAGGATCAATCGATACCAGCCAGATACAAGTTAACGGTGCCCGCTCATAGCATCTTCGCGACCCGCTCACAAAAACCTTGCTTTCGCAATCCCATCGCTTCCTGGTCGTTGCCAACTAGCTGTTATCGCTGCCTTGTCGTCGCCTTCTGGGAGCTTTTGTAGCAATAACGCGCTTTGTAGTTATTTTCTGACTCACGGAAGATTATGGCAGCCCGCTGACAGCGTGTCGCTGCCCGCTCGCTACTTTTTCCGAGTTATCGCCGCCCGCCCACTGAAACTGCTTGCTATCGCTGCCCGCTGAGAGTATCCAAATGTCTGAGTATAAGTCTAGAAAATGTTGCGCACACGTTGCGTAACAAGTTCAAGCCGTTGCATAACAAGTTCAAGCCTGTTCATTCTCTTTGAGCTGGTGAAGTATTTGAAATGTGGTCAGACACAAGTTTCAGTTATCATACAATCTCAGACTAAGCACACAAACACACTTTGCTTACTTCTCATTGACATGTTCAAAAGATTTGAATCATTGTTGGGAATATGTTAAGTAACATGTTCCATTGATGAACAATGCGAGTTTAAACATGTTCTTTCATGAATTTCAGTAGTATGTTAGCAAAACGCATTAAAAATACACTCTCAAACTTGTTAATCGGACGTAGGCAAAACGTGTTCGTGTCTCTTAGTCAGAGAATGAATGATGGTCAGTTTCATGTGCGTTTCACTTCCCAATAAATAGGATGGCGTAAAGCTTGAAAACGCCTAGATCTAACAAGCTCGAACTTGTCGATCAGTTAGAACTTCCGCATAAATATCTCGAACGAGTTTTACTTGTAAAATTCGCATCTGCTTGACCTTTCCAGTTACTTAGCCATAGAAGCCTTGAACCTCCTATACTGCTTTGGCTAAAACTTACCATAAAGTTGACATGTCAAATGAGAACATCACTTTTCATTTTGAATGGAGCATTCAGAGAACACCGACGCGACCTGTGACGAAGGTATGAAGCTGAAGTTAAAGCTTATTCTGTAGCACTTTCTCATCTGCGAAAATAGAAAGCACTGGAAGCACTAAATGTGCGTATTCCAACCTAGTTTTGCTCGCGTGACAAGGCAAGCACATTTGACTCTAACTTGCCTCAATCCATGAAAAAGAAGTTTTTTGGTACTTTTCCGTTATCCGTACCCATTTTTCCAAAGAAGGAAATTGCTTTTATCCTCGTACCAAACTTGATCCCAACTTCAGAGGAAGGAGTGTCAACTTTCTGCCATGTGTCAAAGTGATGACGTGTCATTTACGTGCTTAACAGGTTTTATCAAGAGGTGGTGTTATTCTACCTAGCGTTGTAAGTTAATCTCTTTTTTAGTCAATAGTGGCCCCACTCTCGATACAGCATAAAATTGAACATTATAATAATAATGATGTCATTCAGTTATCAATACTAGATTTCCCCAAAATGAGAAGTGCGCTAAGATTCCATCATCTAGTGACAAAACAAGAAGCATCGAAGAACTTCAAGCATCCTTTACAGTCTTTCCTGGCTAAACTCACATGGCGAGAAGAGTTTCAAGGGAAAGACTTTTTGATTCATTGTTGATATTAAAAATGTTCTAATATGAGTTTTGGATTGTTTTGGTCTTATAAAAAACGGGTAACAGCTTTAGGTGATCGCAAGTGTTCTTTTACCTCCCCTGAAATGATTTCGAAAGAACATGTTAAAATGAATTGTGTCAATTTTTTCCTGATACGTGGCAGGAAGACAGTCTTCACAGTCCAGACGGTAGAATCTATGAAAAAGTTCTTAGACTAAAGAACGTAATGAGAGCTTTTGAAAAAATGGGTCCGGATAACGGAAAAGTACTGATTTTTTTGCATATGCTCTATATTCTAGAGAATATGATAAAGAAAAGTTGAAAATGAATAATTGTTCTATTTTTTATGAGACTGAAAGGGAGAATAACAATATAATATGGACAACACTCAAGCGGGAAACTGTGACATGCTTGCTGGAGCTTGAATTGACAGTCTGGCTCCTACAATTTAGCGTCTCCCGTCTCGCTGTAGAGTGGCATCATGGGTTCATGGCATGTCCCTGTAGATTCCTTTTCGAGGATGAAGCGGAAGACGGCTACGAATGTAGAGTTTTTGTTTTGCATAAATTTAAACCGTGTAAAAGTACACAAATGACGAGAGGACCAAACCAGTGTCTTTGTCGTCGTAAGGAATAGAGCAGAGTCTAACATCATCTCTTTGGGCAAGAATGTTACAGAGTCATGTAAAAGAAAGACTTACTATCAAGTGCATGCTTATTCGGCTTATTACAGGTCTCAAACCTGGCGGTGATCCAAAGGGAGCAAGAGGTACTTATTTTGTTGCCATTTTTGAGCACATATCTTGTCATTAAGACACTAAAAGGGTACTCTGATTGATTTGTTTTTCAAACTTGAGCAAAAATGGCATTCCCTCTGCTTATTGTTAGCTGATTAGAACATCAGCTTTTAGAAGAGTACCTTTGACATTTCAATAGGCTTTCTCCAAAGCTTTTTTATGTGCGTTACATCGATTGCCAGCGGGCTGCACATGCTTATAGAGCGCTTTCTTGCTATTCTTCACATCTTTACTTGACTTTGACGATGTACTGACAGCTGCATCGGCAATTTCCACATTCTGCAAAAGCGAACCGTATTCCATAGCAGTCAAAAGGAGTTTCGCTCTTTATGACATTGCCGCGCACTTCGGTTTCCCGTGCTTTTGGTCATTGCGTATGCGGAATAAACACAATCCGAAAACAATTCGTTTATTATTAGTTTCTTTGTTTACCTACTCATTGTCATTATTTGAGACCAATTTTGGCGACATTCAAACGCTATAGCCAGTTTGAATAACCTCTACATTTGAATATCGTTGTTTAAGGCTAAGCATGTACGAATTAGTGCGTTTGTGGCTATTGGCTATTTTGGCTATTTTGACATTGTAAGGCATACAAACTTATGTCAATGTGATAAATTAATGGGACCGGAACTCTATCACTAGCTTTCTTACGTTTTTCTTTCTTTGCTGTTAGTAAATTGATTCTATCTCACTGGATTGGGATAAAGTATGGCTTCTAAGTCATTTAGTATTGAATAATTTTTCGTTTCATCACATCGTTTGGATTTTCGAAGCTATTCTCTAAATGTAAAAGGAGTTGGGGTTGAATTAAAGTTTTGTGAGCACTTTTTTTTCCAACAGTGAAATAAAGCGCTCGATTCCTATGGATTCGAGAAAGCTTGTTCAACATGGTATATGCAGAGAGGGCAGTAAGCACGGTCAAGAAGGTTTTCATTAAGCATATCATATAAGAGTTTCGCAACGAGATCATCCGATTAGACATAGCTTAAATTTAGTCATCGTTTTGTTTTACGATTTGCACTCTGCGGTTATAGTGCAGGGATCTGAAGTAAAAAATGCAATCCAGTCAAACGCGGTACCGCATTGCAAGTGCAAAGACATTCAAGCGTAAATTTGCAGCGCTCCAATTTCTCCATCCTAGTCTGTCATACAAAAATGTCTTATCTCACTTATCTCACTCCCACTCCTTTTGTTGATCCAATTTTGGATTAAAGTGGTCATCTACTTGCACTGAAGGTAGGAGATGACGAAAATCCATGTCAAGGCTGACGTACATCTTTGACGACATGGCAATTAGGAAGCTAGCAATAGCAGGTGTAGAGCACATTTTAGACATTTATTTGACAAACTCTACGCATAACCTGGAATGTAAAGCGACCAGACATCAACTGTATAGAAATAAATGACGCCGTCTCCTTTGTAAAGAGGCAGGACGTTCACGATTTAGCTTGTGGATATGCAACGACTTATTTTGACCCTTCTTTGAACGTGGCAGTCAGACAGACCGCACCTTCCAAAAAAAATTTTAGGATGCTTTGCGTTTCTGTAACCTTGTAATTTTGGAACAGGAACGTGACCGCAGCTACAGTTTCTTGCAAACTGACTCGGGTTTTTGAGAGTTTTAGAAATTATCCCAAATTGTTACGAGTGAAAAGTCACTTACAAAAATTCTGTCGACCAAAAATATCAATGGTTTTCGGCGACCCGGGGGGGGGGATTAAACACTGTTGACCTCCTGCGAAAAAGTTAACGTTACATATGTGAAGTTCTCAACCAAGCAAAATTTGCTTAAAGTAGACTACCACACCCTACTACTCGTAGAGGTGACAATCAACTTATCAATCTCAGTATTCGCCTTACTTTTGTACTACTTAATGATTAGACATTTCCACAAAATTATAAAGCGGCCCAGCGATAGTAGACCACAAGCATTTCTGTTGACGTAAAGTGTGCTTGTGTCCTCTTTTGCATTGTTTCCTTACGGTAGGCCTGTTGACAGCACACACTTGTTACTAATGATCATAAGTTGAGGAAAAAACAGTTTCAATCGCCCTCTCTTAAATTAGATTGACTTGATTTACTTTCAAATAGAGCTTCAGATTACCCCTAATTCCCCAGACATGCTTTCCAGTCTAGATTTTAGTCGCCGCGCGATTTGGCTGAATCGTTAGCAAATGCCTGCAAGCGCATTATTATTATGCAGAAAATAGGACACCATTTCATCAGTCTGCAGAAATTGCACACTACGAATGCAGTTGTAGTCTGCGAATGTCGGATTTAGAAGCGAGTGCCGAACGCCGGACCACGGCGACTGAAATCGCGCGAGGCATGCCTGAACTAACAGAAGGGCAAAATTCTTTTGTCTTGAAGATGCTATCCTCCCTCCTTTTGCAGACTCCATTGATAAGATGCCTCAGCGTTACTCGTTCGTTATCTGCCAATTTTTCGCTAATAAGCCAATTAGCCTGGTGTCTCCTAGCAACATCGAAATCGAAATTTTCGATGCGACGACTTTGCGATGCTTGGATGTAGCACGAAGGACAGGAGCCGCTGCAGCTGCGAGTGGATTCCTGATGACCCGGAAAGTGACGCACGCCTCTCCGTTCAGCCTCCTTATCGTGACAATCTCACGAGAAAGCGACGACATCGATCTGCGATCGGTAGAGGCTTTGTTTCATTTTGAACGAACATCGCTCTAGTATGAATTCCTCTTCATAATGTAACACTTCCTGGTAGTCAATGAAACGACTAACATGAAATCTTTTGCATGTAGTCATTCATTTCCTGCTATTTCTCTTAGAAGGAGTGCACGTCTGTCAACAGGTAGGCGTGTTAGTGACCGTTAAGCAGAATAAGCAGAACTTTTGGCAAAACTTTGTTCTCCCTACTGAATAGTGTCGGGCAAGGAACTGTGTTAATAAACTACTTTTTTGTCTATTCTGACGATGTGAGAAAATTCGCTCGAATGGTTGATTTTACATCATACAGTGTAAATGAACCTACAGGCCTTCTCAGAGCTGCTCGGAGGAGAAATAGTCTGACTATTAGGTTATCCCATAAGCCATACATCGGAACCTTTAAGTGCGTATTTTTTTTCTCACTAAATTCGTATGATGCAGTATAGCTTAACAATTCACGCGTTTTCTATTTTGATCACAGAAAATAAATAGTGTAAATCAAAGCGTTATCTAGACGGCTCCAGGAGTTTTCTATATTAGTGCAGGATTATAGAACAATATAACATTATTGAAATAACAACGTAAAAGCCACAAAGCTATTAGAATAGCTACGAGCTGATGCTTTCCTGTCAGATTATTCCTCATCAGAAGCTAATATTAAAATGATTAATTCTTCCATAATGTGCAAAATTGCTTGAAGAATCAAGAAAACCTCAAAGTAATCGCTATGCATTTGTTCTCACAAAGACTTTTTCAGAGGCTACGTGTGCGAAGACCGATAGCCTCGAACGGAGGGATTACGTGGAAGAGACCGGATTCAAGCAGTAAGTATCGAAAATTAATTTTCTTTGAAGTCGTTCGCAATTTTGTCGTTGACCCTCCTTCTTGCTTCCTATGTATCTCTTTGTAAAATAGTCACTAACAAACTAAACTTGTTCTCTCTTACACTTTAATATAATGATATCGGACTCACCTGAAGTTGAAAAATTGGGGATCATCGAGCGCATTTGCAATTTTCATCGAATTTCTGCAAAAAACTAGGGCAACGAGATTTTTTTAGCAAAAGGTCTTCAGTATCTCCTGATTGCGGAACTTTGAAGCAAAAAAAGTCCTGAAATTGAAGCAAAAAAAGTCCTGAAAAAATCATGTTCCATTGGACAGGAACGTAACTCTTGTGTGGCATTTATATAACTACGTCTGTCTCGCATTCTTCGCAAAAGTTTCTGCAAGTTTTGTATACTTTATAGGACGCCCTGTTGCAGAACAAGTTTTTTGACATTTCCGATAATTGTCTCTTGCTTGTCCTAATGGCTAAGCAAACTTGTGTTGACTAGACATGCTTTTTCTGCATCAAAAAGAAACATCAGTCGAAAAGCAATCAAGAAAGTTTCATCAGTATAATCAGACGGCAGCCTCTCGAGGATGTCTACCTAGTTCAACGATTTTGAGTATGAGAATTGATTTGCAATTTAATAATTTATGGCGCAGATTTGTTCATAAAAAGTGACTTGAGGGAGCATTAGACGGAACGCTTCATATTTGCGTCTTTCTTTTGTTTCCAATAACTCATAATGACTTGCAAGAATTGAAAAAAAAAAGAATATGGAAGTTGGACTAACAATAAGACGCATCTGGATCTTTTGCAAATCCAGTTCTGAATTCCGCTACATTTTGTCAATCTCGATGCTCTGAGTTACTGCCTCTTTCAAGAAAACTTATTTTTCCTCTTCCGAAACGAGATTCAAGTTTGCAAACATTTACCAACTTATACATGCTTCGATAAACATCGTTCGAATGGACACGGCTTACGCTGTATTGGACTGGATATCAGTGTGTTCACAGACCTGTCCAGCTAGTTCCATCCAGTAACTTCGCAGTGTTAATAAACAACCCGTTCTCAGCTTTCTACGTATACCTAGCGGAACGAACAGTCTTTGGTAGTGGCGCGCATGCTATGACGCATAGGGCAACCATAGACATGGTGCTCCAAAATTTTGAGATCGGTTGTAGCATGCTTCACTGACTTCAGCTAGATAGGTGCACATTTGACAAATTTCATTTTTTGCATTTTTCAACAAAACCGAGTCTTATTGTTAGCTTCACACATGTCTGCACATTTTCTTCCACGATATCACATAATTCTCTTCGAAGTTTGGGACAATTTTGCATCTTTGCATTTTGTTTCTTCAAATAGTAAACACTGAGCATATTCATAGAACATGCTGTATAAATTTCGCTCTTGAAAAACGAGAAAAAGGTGGCATTGAAAATAGCAAACTCCGCCCACAATCGTAGTTTTTTCCATGCCCGCTATACTGTACGCATACAAGAGTACCCATATAATAGTTGCATATTTTACTCTCATAATGTGAGAAATAAGGATCTCAACTCGATGATGTCCCAAACATTATTACCAAGCAATACATAACTGCGCTATAGTAAAATCAGGGTAGTCCAGTCCAGTTGTCTCATCACATATTCTCCGCTTGATTGCAAGTTCTAAAAAAGTGCTGAAGACATGCCTTAGCCAGAAAACCGAAAAACGTGATGAGCAAACAATGTTACATTTTTTAGATCACAACAAACAAAAGTTACTCGATCATCCTTCCTATTCTTCCCACAAAGCTTCCCTTACACAGAAGCTCTTTGAGAAGGATATGTCAGCTGTTAAGTCGCCTTTTCCCCTGTTAATTTTACCTCATACAGTTCTCCTAGCCAATAAAAGGCTAAGTTGTGTTTCATTTTACTGTTTTGCGCATGCTATCCCCTCCTCTTCCCCTTTTTTGATTTTGTTGACTTTGAATGAACATCAACACATCCTGCTCATATTAATCCTCCTAATCTTTTTGCATGAAACTTTTGCAGTTATTCGACGCCAGCGCTTTTTACCGCATTTAAAAATCTCAATCTTTTACAGAATCTCAGCTGAACTTTCTAAAATGTTTAATGGTATATAACTGTAAGAAATCACCAAGATATTAGGTTGTCCTAAAAGTAAAGTCTTCTTTTAATAATTTAAGCTCTTTTTGCTTTCAAGAAGATTCAAAGTATCATTTGGTAGAGCAGATCAAGCTCTACAAAATGTCCACCAAAAGTCCGCCTAAGCCGATTCCTTGTAAAGTTTGAAGCCAAAATCGAAAAAAATTTTGTCACCTGAAAATTGGATTTTTGCGAAGAAATACCCTGCGGACCTCCGGTTTAGTGGTAGTCACATAGTAGTCACAGTAGCACTCAAGTACGTAGTCACATAGTAGCACTCAAATATGCATTTAGTGGATTTTTCCGCTCTTAGAAAGCGAGAAAAAGAATAGCCTAAAAATGGCAAACTCCGCCTCAGCTCCTCCGACATTTGTCATTGTATATTATACAAGCCTTGCTTAGTATAATCTTAAAACTTTACTTCTGTATGTGCTCTTATGATCGAGAAATACCAAGTTTTACATGAAAAACCGGAAAAAAATGTCATTTTGGCATTTTGGAAAATCTTTGTTTCTCAATTTTGAGCCCCGGAAAACTCCACCAAATACATTTTTGGATACCACTATGTGTCCATTATATATAGACTAAGTTGGAGATTCGCGGAAATTTTCTGGAAGGAGATCCGATTTTGGGGTATCCGAAAAATTTTGATTTTTGGCTCCGAATTATATTACGACTTGGATGGATCCTTGGTGGTCATTTTGTAGAGCTTACTGGCATTTTGGAAAATAACATAATGCATTTACGAGAATCTGAAGAAGTCAATACTCAGCTTCCAACCTCAGCAGTAAGTTTATGAGCAATTGCATTTCTCTAATTCAACTTTCAATTTACTGATAATCAGATAAGTCCTTCTGATGTGTGAATGGTATTTGACATGGACTAGTTCCAGTTGGTATCATATAGGCTCGTATGCCTGTAATCAATCAGCTACATCAAGGTCACAAGTGAAATAAGAGAAATAGTTCAATGGAAGACGAAATTTTGCAATTTTTTGAAAACTATCATAGAACGCCAAAGCGAATCACCTCTTTGAAATGTTTGGCTTAGACTCTACCTTGTTCAATTGTTCGCTAGTCAGTGGAAATTTTCCTGCAATTGTATGACACAAAATAAACTTTTCCAAGGTTATTAGAAAACATTTGCACTACCGTCTACCGCACTCCGAGTCCTAAGCAACGTTTTTCGTTAGCCACTCATCTTTGCTTGCTCCACTTGATCATAGAACATTCATGAAGTTTTTGCAGACCGAGCACCAATGCTTATAGAGGCAACTTAAAGTTTAATGTCATGTCTGAAAGTTCTGCTTCATCTTTTGACAGTCTAACATCAGGTATAAAGTCATGTTTTCAACTGCTGTGCCGTTCATTTTGTGGAGAGCAGTTCTCAGACTGTGGTACCATTGACTATATAGGCTAGAACATTTGATTCTGATCACAGCAAAATCTTTTGCAAATTTTCTTTTTCTTCTCTTCCGGATAACTTTCTCCCTTTGTCCAATGGTATCATCTAATAAAACACATATTTGGACTTAGCATCAACCAGTTCTGCAACAAACTAGTCGGATCCAGATGAGATAATTCGATTGACATTTCGGTTCCATTTGCTGCGTACTTGCTAACTGCGTGCTTTAAAAACCTTAACAAGCGCAGGTTCCACACTTTCCTATCCCTGGCCGAATAAACTGACGTAGCGACAAGCTTTCTCCTAAAATATCAGTTATATCTTCTGCTATAGGAAGAAGATATTGAACTTTTCTGGACTGCATTTAGAATCTGCACGAAAGGATACACTTCTAAATGCTACCAACTTCTGGGTCCGTTCTGAAGCTGAAATGAATCTCATGTATTATGTTCGGAAGATTTCGTTTTTCAGATGAATCATCCAAAACGAGTGTAAATGGAAATTTCCAAATTTGTGTGCGCTTTAGATGTCTGAAGCGCGTTTTTTCCCAAAGCTGAGGCTTTTGGTAATCATTCCTTGGTGTAGTCGAACAGTGTGGCCGCTCTTTCTCGACAAATTTTTGCGTTTGTAAAGTCTTGCCAATGTTCTATATTGAGATATGTGAGAAACAGTCAATAGTCTACTCAATTTTCAATTGTGCGAGCTTTTTAAATTCATTAAATTATTGCAGATGCCATAGGCCTATATGCCCACTAAATTTGGTGACATATATGTAGTAGTCTGTAAGCCGTATTAAAGATTTATAGCATGTAGATAAAAATGCATCTGGATTGCTTCTAGGCAAAACAGTAGATAATGCGTCTCTTTTTTCAAACTATTTTGTGAAAGAGCCCTATTGTTCAATAGGTATTATATGCATATCTGAAATGCTAAAAAAAATCTTTTGCTTATCACACTCACGCCGGGTCTTCACTGAACTACCTTGAGTAAAACGGTGCATTTACGCGCTGGATTTTCTTTTTTAATTTTTTTTTCGAAATAGCAAAAGCAAAAGAAATCCTTCCTGCAACATCCCCGTCCAAAAAAACTTTTTGAGGTTTTTTTTTTTTCAAATGTCGCAGCACTTTAGGTGCGTTCAAGACATTGCCGCTGTGCTCGAGAAAATCAACTGAGGTGTTCGTTGAAGTGTTTGCTTACAACGGCGGGATGTCCGCAGCAGCGGTCACTACGTCGGCGTGCGCAGTTTTTAGAGCGTCGCGCTCCGCCCCGCGCATTCCGCTGCCGGTTCTCATCGCCTCTCCGAAATACGTGGCTACACTTTGCTACGTTCTGGAGTGCATCTGCACCGTGAGAGGTGCTTGCTCAGTTTATTTCTGTACCAGTTGTCAGTTATGTTCCCGAGCGCTTTGTACAAAATGTCTTTGAATTATGGATACAGTATTTGATTCTGATACACCAGCATATCTAGAGGAAGATTGTGGAGCTTTCTGTAGAGCTATCGTTTTGAAGAATTGCCGTCAACTTGGATTTATAAAACTGAATAATCCTCTTTGTTGGTGTAAGATTACGCTGAATTTGCAGTCGTGATTTTGTACAAAGCTCTTCTTTGGCAATGTTCAAGTTTGCCATTTAAAATTTTTCCTAAAAAAACTGCATCTTTTTTTGATGGTTACAAAACATTAACTTTCGAAAGTAAACTCTATTAATATTGACTGTTTGAGTCAAAAGCCAAAAAAGGAACTGCACCACGCTTGCTGAAGAAATCAGCTGGTGCGATTTTATTTGTGAGTTAGTGAACTATTTTCCAGGTTTTTTGAATCTTTTTCTAAAGCAATATTCAGCAATAACTGCCTCAAAGTCTTGTTCAATTTATTCCTACTGTGACAGAGATTGTTAGTTCAAGTCTTGCATCAAGATGAAGAAATGTTGGAACTATACATACTGGCACACTGTATCTTATAAGTTGTCTTTATTTCCACCAATCTAGATATTATATACGCATGCTTTCTTTCCAATTTCATTTGAAACCGGTAGAACTGGTAGTTTAAGGCAGTCAGTTACGTAAGACAAGGTCATCGAATCTTACTCTTGCTCTTTCAGTCAGCATTCTTCTGTCGTAAATGAATGAACGTAGCGTTTGCATAGTTCAACGGTCAAGATTCATTCAGCAGTATTTCCTGGCTCAAATCTTCTAGTGGGATTAGAACTGACATGATTCTTATCTCTTCTTTGACCATAACGTGAAAGAGCAGAGCTCTCAACAGCAGCTCGGCAATAATTCACGACAAACTTTTGCTCTTGATAGCTTCTGAAGAATTTCGAAGCATTGAAATTTTGAGGAATTACAGAAATCGACCGTTTATCACTCACCGCTGCTTGTCTCCGTCAATATTTTCCGTATCAATCTTCCAATTTCTTTTTGTTCTTTCTATCTTTGGCATGCATCTCTTTAAGAATCTGGTACTTTGCTGGCACTGCACTTACCAAGGAGAGGATACTTAGTCGATAGCACCAATCCAGATGAGACATATATCATCTTGAAGCGCCTGAAACGCTGATTCCAAATCTGTAGTTTTTAGCTGCGGAACGATTTCGTAGAAGGAGTTATGAGAGGTGCTTCCTTATGGGGTTGAAGCGCCCTTTGGCAGGTCTCCCCTTACCTATGAGCATTGTAGAAGAATACCAACTGGTGGCAGGCAGTAGTAAGTGATTAGTATTGAAAAGCCAAAGTATTAACATGACTATTATGATCCTTATTGTAATCTTCATTAAAATTACTTACTACTAGGCCATTTGCCACCAGTTGATACTCCTCTACAGTGCTCTACAGTCTACAGATAGGAGACCTGCTGAAGGGCGCTTCAACCTCAAAGGGGAAACATCCTCATAATTCCTTCTACAAAACCGTTCCGCAGCTAGAAACTACAGATTTGAAATCAGCGTTTCAAGCGTTTTGAGATGATATATGTTCCATTTGGAGTAGTGCTTTCGACCAAGTATTCTCTCACTGTCAGGTGCGAAATCTTAGCTTTTGCGGTACTTTTCCGCTATCCGGACCCATTTTTACAAAGAAGAATATTGCTTTCCCCGTACCATACTTGATCTCAACTTCACAGAAGGGAGCGTCAACCTTCTGCCACGTTGAAAAAATTTGACATCCCATTTGTATGTTTAACAGGTTTTACGAAAAGTTTGTGTTTACCTACTGGCGTAAGTATAATCTTTTTTCTAATCAGTATGCGCCAATTATGATTGAACAATATAAAAATAATGAACAAACGTCATCCTTTATCAACGAACAGATTGGACTTGGCCAGAATAGAGAGCGCTAGGGTTTTTATCATCTGCATGACGAAACAAGCAGCGATGAGGTACTTCAAGCCATTATTATAGTATTTCCTGGCTGAATTCGCATGGCGCAAAGAGTTTGAAGGAAATGTCATTTTTGATCATTGCTCAAAGAATCAAGGTAATCTAATATTATTCTGATATAAGTTCTAGATATTTTGCTTTTATGGAGAACCATCATACAGCTTTAAGATGAACACAAATGCTATTTTAATACCTCACTGAAAATTGTTTCGAGAAAAGAACATGTCAAAATGGACCAAAACGTGTCAATTTTTTTCCTTGAAACATAGGGGAGCAGTCCTGGTAGAACCTGTGAGAAACACTTTTCAAATCAGTAAACTATTCTATGAGAGCTTTTTGAAAGAATGGGTCCGGATAGCGGAAAAGAACCGGTCTTACATAATAATCGGAAAAACATTGCGTTTTACTGTATGTTTATGCTAAATAATCAAAAAAAACATATTGCGCATCAATTTGCCATCAGCAAGTGTAAAGCAAATATTGATACGTCTCCAGATCCGAAGCTTCTTGAATCTTGAATGTCCAGTGCTTTATACTCAACGACCAAGTCTTTACAGATTTCATTTTTCTGAATTTAAACCTTGAATGATAACTTGAACACTTAAGGTTTGTGATCACCCTTTGCGCCGCTGTGCTTGTGATGATCGTCCTTGTGACGCTGGTTTTCATCTTCACTGGACCTTGCTGTGGCGTGGTAAGTGAACGCTTTAGACTAAACCGAAAATTGATTTGCCTCAGCGAACCTAAGTAAAAAATGAGTGGCTATTGATACTCGACCTCCGAAATTAAGTGCTTAGTAGTAAGAACGTCTAATATACAAGTACTTCATTTTACTGTCAGCAAAAGATTTACACATATAGCTCGCTGTTATTCCCATAAACTGAAACTTCTTGATCTGTCGAAATACTAAAGGTCAGCGGGAAGCCCATTTAGACCATCTAGAGTCATGCTATATAGGAGAATAGTTTGATGTGCTGGTAGAAACAACCGTTACGATGCTACTAGGGAAGACGGTAAGTATACGGTAGGAGAGAGTCAATTCTCGCGGACCTGTACCGAATGTCGATTTATATGCCTTACGCTGAAATTTTTTAAGCTGCTAATATTCTTTGCTTCTCCATTCTTGACGACAAGCTTAACACTTTCCAAACACACCTGTTAGTGTATACCTACCGTATTTCAAGTAATGATATTTGAAAGAAAACAACTGGGTCTAGAGACTTGATTGCGCATCCGTTTTCAGATTCAATTGCTGTAAAAGATGAAGCGCAAATTTAGAGTAATATATCGTTGGAGTATCTGTATTGGAAAATATTAGTGAATCTTCAATCCTGTTATCACAAGCATTGCAGCCAATCATCAGTGATGCTCCGTTTGATTGGCCAGCGCCATCTGACAGCATTGAGGGCAAATTTCACAAAGCAGCGGTGACCACCGATCATGGGCTGTGCTCAGAGATTGGAGGGTATGTTACCTTCAAATATCTTACATATGGAATACAATATGCAAAATGGAAGCTTACGTCGCTTTTCAAAAAAAATCATGTCAAAAATGCAAATTTGTGGTTCAAAAATTGCTGTTAACCGAGTCAGCTGTCTTTACTTAGACCGAAAAATAAATTCGGTCGTTTTTAGCGGTTTGTAGAATTGTTACAAGTCAGTTTTTGTGTGTATATATGGTACCACTGGAAAGAGCAAATCAAGGAGAATCTAAAAGTTGACTTTGATTTCTCAAAAATAATTTTTCTGATAATGAAATGGTGAAGGAAAGAAAATTGGTCAGATTTTCCTCAAAAAATTCGAAAATAGAATTCAGAGTTTATTTCTGAGCTTCCTTCTGAAACTGATTGATATCAACTTACTGCAGTCCGCTTTAGGGATATTTTACGGAAGGGTGGTAATGCCATCGACTCCTCAATAGCAGTAATGTTTTGCTTGGGAGCGACCAATCCTCAATCCAGCGGACTTGGAGGCGGCTTCCTGATGACCATTTATAACAAGTGGGTCTTACCATATTTTATAATACATCTATTCAATGTTCATCCTGAGTTTCGTCTATGTGTGAGAATATATATTTTAATCTCAGCGTGTACTGTGATAATTATGGAAATCCAAAACAAATGAGCCTGTCAAAATGCTTGAGTAATGTAGGCGACATAGATTGTGTAGGCGTTAATATAAAAGCCGATATTGTACATGAGTTGATTCGAAAACTATTCTCCAAATGTAAACGCATCATATGAATGATAATGCTGCAAAAGCAATCATGTTCTGTGTGTGTGTTTTTTTCAGCTTCCTCTTCCTCATTTGCGCAGTCACGCAAAGTAAGTGCTAGATATTAGGTTGTAAAGAAAGTTCTCTCAACTCTTCTTATAATTACCCAAATTGAATGCGAATGCAAGGGGCTGATTTGCGATGTGTTTATAGTATACGATTGCCTCAGCTATCTAATACGCTATCCAGCTTGAAAAACTAAGGACAAACTACATAGGAAGGTATGTTCAAGACAGGGGAAAAATCCATTGCGCTCAGATCTGCGAAAAACATTTTTCAGTATACATAGACGCGCAGAACTAGCGAAAGCTTGGAAAATCCATTTTATACCCTTTGTATTTTAGATAAAGCTATGTCCGACTATCTTGCTCCGGGGTCTGGGCCTTCTTGCAAGCAAGAAACATCTTATCAATTTCGAGGTTAAAAGAATCAAACTCTCTACCTGTTTCGAGAGCATCCATGATATAAGTAGTCTAAACAGTAGTGTAAGCTCGTCAGTACACGTGACCAAAATGACTGACAGCCACTCATGTAGAAATAATCAAAATAATTTAGCTCAACCTCTCTTCTTCCTGGCAGAACTTTCTTAACAGCCTAATAGTAAATATGTAACCAAGAAATCGTTCATGGCGCGCACGGTCTAGAATTTCTTAATAACTGAGAATTTATTGTGTAAGTAGTTAGGCGAAGGAAAGGTTTGCACGTATAGTGTTATTATACGTATTCACACATAGCTTAGAAGGAAGGAAGTTCTTCAACTTTTTCTTATGTCAAGGTACATCCTGTTTAATCCCACTAGTCTTTTCAGAACGCAAGGTAAATGCATAGCAATTGACGCTAGAGAAACTGCACCGGCAGCAGCACATCGGGATATGTTTCGAAATGACAGTGACGGGTCTAAATACGGTAATCTTCATCATTCGGTACCCCAATTATGAATTTTAAAATGTATGTCTTCAGGGTTCAAAGCAGCCGGCACTCCCGGAGAGTTAGCTGGCTACTGGTATGCGTTCAAAAATTTTGGATCAGGTAATTCTCATAGTAAAGAGACTCGAAGGAGGAAGGAGATTTTAGCATTTAGGGAGCGTTGCATGGAAAGATCTCATCCAGCCAACTATCGAGCTTTGTCGAAGTGGTGTGCCAGTTTCAGAATACCTCGATTATGTCATGAAAGTCAAGGAAAGACATTTCCGGCTCTTCCCCAGCATGAGGTATGTATCTTACTACTCTAAATAAACGCTCCTAGATGCGAGTTTCAATTTTTAGGGCCTGGATCAATCCTGCAACGAATGACACCTACAAAGCTGGAGATCTTTTACCAAGACTAAAACTGGCAGCAACCTTAGAGAAGGTAGCCAACTCGGAAGATCCAGTCAAATTGTTTTACCACGGTGAAATGGCCGACACAATAGCCCGCGAAATGGCAGAAGGAGGTGAGAAGCTTTACGTTCGTGGCATCGCGACTACTTGGAAGTTCGAAATCTATATCTAGAGGAGTGGCAGGCTCCTCGCTATCACCAGAACTGGAAGCCGCTCATTCCATGCTCTTCGTTCGTTGCCCTCTCATTTCCTTTTCAACAACTGGTCATGTATCACAGCCTTTAAAACCGTCAAATAGCTTTTTCATAATTTGGAGTAATAAAAAAATTGTGCTTGGTATACCACAGATGTCTTCAAAATCTTTTTCTCATAAGTTCTGAAACTTTTTTGCAAAATTCAAAAGTGGGAGAGATGGGGGAAAATATTCGTGCAATCAATCTTTCATACCAGAAATTAGGTTTCGTCTACCTGTGATTAACTCGTTCACATGATTAAGTAAACCTTATTCTACAGCATTTTTATATCACATATAGCAAAATTCAAGATCTCTCTCCAAGTCAAATAGCTGGATAAAATTGTTCCAGCAATGCTGCTCGTATCAAAATATTGATTTCGACATAAGTGATTTCGTCTTACAAGGGAACGATCCCAACTCAAGGTGGCGAATTGGAATGAACCGCATATCATTAGATGCGCCTTGATGAGCTGATTCCGAATCTACCTTCCGTATCTGCGATGTCATTATCTGCAAAAACTTATGAGCGGTTGAAAATGTGAAGTTATCGGGGTTTAAATGCATAAGGTGTTTCAAAATCCAACTTGGGAGTGTATGAATAGCATGATATTGAGTGAACTGATTTTAAGGAATGCTCACTTTCGAAGGAAACACAAATAAGTGATTTTGAACGGCTAATTTTCGAGGTATGGCGGTATATTTACCAAATTCAGACTTTTCATTGCTCATAGCTTTTACCAATGAACTTTAGTTGCTTTTTTAGCTGTTCAAAAACACTTATCGTGTTTCTTTTGAATCTGAGCATTCCTTGAAATCAGTACGCTTAATATCATGCTAGTCGTGCACTTCCGAGTTGGATTTCAAAGCATATTATGCATTAAAACCCCAATGACTCCACATTTTTAACCTTTCATAACTTTTTCAGATAACGGCATCGCAGATAAGGAAGGTAGATTTGGAATCATCCCATCAAGACGCATCTAATGATGTGCGGTTTATTCCAATTCGCCACCTCAAGTTGGGATCGTTCCCTTGTTAGAAGGACATTAGAGTAGATGAAAGACGCTCAATTTTATCACCCATTTTTTTTCGCAGAAACAACGAAATAATATATAAGAACTTGTGTTGTATTATATGTGATTTTACGTTTTTGCCAAGACATCGACATTTTCAAGTACAGTGAAAATTAGGACTGTTCAGGAGGTATAATCACCAAAGCGGATCTCGCATCCTACAAACCCATCTTCTACGATCAGCTGGTAAATGACCACTTCCGAGGTGACTTGGTCATGTGTGGAGGACCTCCACCATCGTCATTTGCAGTCACTCAACTTATCGTCTCAGTAATGAGCGGTGAGTGACTGTTCAATCCCTTGCTGGCTAATACAAGAAAGTATTTATTTCAGCGTTGTATCCCGAAGGACACCACACTGATATTTTGGCAGATCCAAAGGCGGTACATCATTTTGTTGAAGCCATGAAGTTTGCTTATGCGCAGAGGTATTCGCAGCCACAGTGCTGGCCCAGACAATTTTGGAAATTTAGGACTTTGCTTGGGGACGCGGCGTTCGTTCCGTCAGCAGTTGAATTAGCAAAGAATCTGACCACAAAAGGGTACACTCAGTGGATCGTGCAGCGAATGAGGGATACGGCACAACCATCAGCATACTACGGTGGAATAAATCAGACACATGTAAGTATTGAACATCAACAAAAAAGGGTGGAACCACTTGTCGCAGAACAAATTTGCTTGCGCTTCACTACGATTTTAGTTCAAAAAATATTCGTTGTAGCCTCCTGACCATGGCACTTCTCAAGTGTCTGTACTAGACGAGTTCGGCAACGGAGTCTCAGCCACTACGACGATTAACAGATGGTGAGTAAAGCATAAACAGTCTTTAACAATAACAGCAGAAAGTTAGAAAGTATGTGAGAGGTACTAAGAAAGCTTTACTACCTTGCTAGGCACATCATCTCGGCAAACTTCTCGAAAGAAGGAAGTCGATTTGGTACACTCTTCTCTTTTGATCTCTCAACATATACCGCAGTGACGTAAAAGTTCGAGCAACTTTCGGATTAAGCCATTTTGATGAGTTCTAATAAGAAGTATGAGATAATTCAACTCAACTCTACAAGCCTTATCGAAACTATAAAAAAATTTGTTTTAAACCAACCTTGTCGTCAAAAATTTGTTTTTGCTAGTAGGGGCAATATATGTAGATTCCTCAAAGAATGTGAGGAAGGAGGTTTATATAGACGGGGAACGCTATATACGAGGTGTTCCAAAAATATCTTTATTGTTTGATGTGAAAGATCTATGTAAAATATCTATCTTGCTCTTATGCCTTTCGCTCACCTTTGGGTACCATGCCGTAGGGCTATGTAGCACCAACTTAGATTTTTGATTTAGATCGAATCACTAATCGCTCTTTGTTATCGTGGAGTACGGCAGGAACTTTGAAGTTCATTTTGCACCCTTGCTGAAGGTTTTGTCTGAATGAATCGGAAAAGCTGGTCTCAAAAAATTAGCATTGCTCATTACCGTGGACTTTTGTTCGTAAGTTACGCCAGGTTCATGTAAAACGCTACTACAGACTTGCTTTATAAACCGCTCCTGTCGTCCAAACTGCTCTAGAAACCTACATAAAATAACTATCTAAATCGGCTTCTGCAAAACGGAACATTTTAGGTGTTATGAAAATTTTGTGAAATTGCAGCTTTGCAAGTATGCGGTTTTGTTACAAGTTTCTATCCTGATCACAGTAACAAAAACAGAACTGTGCTTTGCACCATGGTGCAAATCGAATTTGAAGCTGGCTCTACAGAATGGTGCCCAAGAATCGGCCGAAGACATCAGGGCAGGAGAGGTGTTTTATTTCAAACAATAGAGGCCTTTTTTGGAGCAATTTAACTGTTCACTAAACACTCCCTTCAGAAACTTACGGCGGCCTGAGCTGCCTTTTTTGCGCTTTTCACTCCTCTCATTCGTGTAAAACTATTTCTTTCTACTGTTTTCTCTTTTCCGAAGCTTGGAAATGCATTCTTGATAGACCGTGATCGGTTCAGGTTTGGTGCTGCAGTTGAATCGGAAGCGTACGGGATTGTATGGAATGATGAGATGGACGATTTTTCGACACCTGGAATGGCAAATGGGTAGGATTTGATTTTTAGAAACCTCGTATCAGATAATTACTCCTGTTGATCAAGTTACAAGTCCAGTAATATGACTTTGAGTTTGAATTGACGTTTAAACTAGTTCAAACTCAAATGTAAGAGCAGATAGAGCTCATAGAACCCTAGGCAACTTGTGAACTGCTAGAACTCGAATCCAAACTTTTCTATGGCATATATGGATATTGGATAATTATTCCTTATGCAAACACCCAATCCTTCAATTGCTCCATCAGATACGAACATCAGTACCTGGGATAGTGGGAGAAAAATGATAATTTTCTGACAGCGCAAACAGCTCAGGCAATGGGAAAAGGTACAAATACTATGTGTAAGTACTCGAAATACTAAGCGTCTCGGACTTGCCAGCGAGAATTATTTTCAATTTAGTTGCTTTACAACAACAAATTTAAAACTTCAATAGCAATTGCCAAAATGGCACATCCTTTCCTTAAAGTCATTCGGATAATCTCAAATTTGAAGGTTTGGGTTTGCTCCATCGGAAACGAACTTCATTCAACCTGGTAAGCGGCCCATGAGTAGCATGAGTCCCATGGTGATATTCAACAAGAAAACAAAGGAGGTACAGTTTCTCTAGACATGTGAAGCCATTTCTAATTCATTGTTTATCTAGCCAAGAATGGTAATTGGTGGTTCTGGTGGATCCAAGATCATTTCTGCTGTGGCCAAGGTACCTCATATTAATAGTGATTATAATTGTAAGTTGGTTACGTGTTGGCTCGACTCCCAAAATTTCAGGCTATTGTACGGCCTCTAATCTTCGGTGAAACCATCAAACAAGCTATCGACGCGCCAATGCTTCACAATCAGTTCACACCAGATATAGCTCAAGTGGATGACTTCTTCCCAAAAGTGCGTGAACTCTCTATTGTTTCAAACTTTCAACCCAGCCTATCCTTATAAAATGCAATTTCAGGAGCTCAAATCTGTGCTGGAGTGGAAATTTGGACAAAAATTCCGTAACACAACCGGTTTTGAAGGAATTATACAAGGCATTACTATAGATAAAAACGAGATCCGTGCCTGCGGTGACTTTAGACGAAAAACCAAACAAACTCCTGCCGGGTATTAAGCGCATTTTGTGAGGACTATTTTAATTTAGGGACCTGTGACCATTATTCCTCCTCTTTTGTTGGTGTATGACATCTGTTCTTCAATTCAGTAATTTATAACTAGTATGAATATGTTCTGCTTGATATAACTACTGCTTACATTTTATTTCACTTAATTTATTCTTTCTTCGCTCAGAAACGCCTTCAGTGATTCGGTGCATCTAATGTGTTGACAAAGTACATATCATTCACCAGTGTGATGACTCAAATTTATTTGATGCTTTGCTTTTCGTGGTAATATCTCGATGAAGTCATAATTTTTATGTAAAAACTACTGAATATCTCAAAATTAAATTAGATTTTATTCTTGATTCACTCTTATAAATTGTTTTAAATGCTGTTTGCCATAGCTATACATGCATTTCCTTCAGATTATTCGGCAAATAAGTTCGCTTTATATACAGGGTCTCCCAAAAAAATGTATCGAACGTTCGATCTTCAATAACTTCCTTGAATAAAAGCTTTCGTGGATCCTTAGGTGCTACGGTAGGGCTAGCTTCAACTTAGATTTACAGAATAAAGCAAATCACCGATCTCTCTTTGTTGCTGCAGGAATACAGTACGAATTTTCAACTAATTTTAGGCGTTTGACAGACGAGAATCGCTTCTTAAAAATTTCCAAAAAGCCGAAGGGCGTCAAACTAAGGTTTTCAGGAATGTTGAATCTAATTACAAATGTAGCCGCTACCGTACTTCTCAGAGCTGCTTATGGTATGCGCAATGGAACGCTGAATTTTTGGCCTTTATCCAAAATTTACTAGATCAACTTTGCAGTTACAAACGCGTCGAAATCAATTAATCGAATCAATCCAACCTCACCAAATCTCCGATTTTTCACCCATTATTTGCAATTAATAAACAATGAAGAAGCCTTCAATGATCAACTGAACTTTGCTTGACAAAGGCAACGTTGATTTAATCAATTTTGGAAAAAGCCAAAAATTCACCCTTACAGTGCGCCTACCTAAGAAGCCGAGAAGTACGGTAGCGAATACATTTGCAATTAGATTCAGCATCCTGAAAACCTTAGTTTGACGTCCTTCGGGGAATTATTTAGAAGCCACTCTCGTCTGTCAAAAGCCTAAAATTAGTTGAAAATTCGTACTGTATTCCTGCAGCAACAAAGAGAGATCGGTGTTTTGCTTTATACTGTAAATCTAAGTTGAAGCTGCCCTACTCTACGGCACCCAAAGATCGCGAAACCTTTCCATATAAGGGAATTATCAAAGATCAGAAGTTCGATACATTTTTTGGGACACCCTGAACATCCTACTGCGGCGAGTAGATACGAAAAAAAAAGTAAATTGATCATTTGATGGAGCAAAACATGCAATATGAAGTGCAATCATCCTCGAGGACACCGCTTCACCTAGGGTTGGAGCCAAATAAAAATTTCGAATCCGAAGAACCTTTTTGAAATCATAGAATTACAAAGGATCCCCAGTTTGCACAAGCTTGTACTCGTTACACACATTACTTTCACATAATAGTCTGGGGAATTTTCTATAGGTAGAAAACTCCCAAATTCAATTACAAACTTCTCTGTCAGTCAGCAGTTAGATAACCCAGTACATCAGAGTTCTCAACAGCTCCGAGATATCCAAATTTTGGGTCACCTAAAGGGGATCATTACTTTGAGCATAATTCTCATTTAAAAACGAAGTACAGGGCTCCTAAGCTGCAGAGTCGTTTGCACCAGCGGTCGCGCGACCGCTGGTGCAAACGATTCTGCAGTTTAGGAGCCCTGTAAGCCATCTTTTTTGTATTTCAAAGCAGAACTACTCCCCATGTTAGGAGTCCCATCCTGAAACCTGAAACAGTGGATTGGTATCCCAATCATTGCATTTTTCGCAGTCAGTGATTGCGCTTGACTTGTCACTTGGCTGACAATTTGATTCGGTTTCAAAAATACACCTGTATTTGAAAGCGAGCCAAAATCTAATTCTCGAGTTCCTATGTATAGACCACTAAATGGCGATTCCGCCAAGGTTTTTCCCTGAAATTCCTTGAGTGGCAGTAGTTAGAATAGTCCAGCACACCTTTACAAAAACATCCATCTTTTTTACAAAAAGGAAATGAGCATCAGTCTCTTCGTCTGTCCTGGCTATAGCTCACACCTCCACGACCCGCACCGCGGGGAGTATAGCGCCTTTATTTTTTAGCGATCAACTTACCACGTAAGCTAGGAAGCATGGCTTTTCAAATGTCTTTTTAACATGTTTCAAATGTTTCGAGCAGGACCGTGTTTGAGCCATACCCTCGATACATAGAGACATATACTCTGGAAACCTTCACTTTGAGCGTCATGATGAACACAACCTTCACCCTTAAAAAAAGGCCATTCGGAGCGAAGCCCGGGATGTTATAATTCTAACCATACCGGAATGAGTGCGAATGAAGCAAATGTAGGGAATAATACATCTAGATTATCTCAGCGAAACCGAGAATTTGCGTTTTTATAGCCTTTTTTAAGCTCTAAATAGAAGGTTTCTGTGAAAATTTCTCCAAAATTCAGGAAAACATCTCTCACTTTACCTCTTACTCGACTAAAATTGAGTTTCAAAAGTTCAGGGAAGCTGTTGGAGTTATATAAAACGCGAAACTGCTCTCAAATCTTGCACAGACACTCACGCACGAAAATGCTGCTCTATCTCGTTAATGAGTGATTTTCATCGCATGGGATGTTGTCATTGCTTCTCATCTTGTCATGACGATCAGAATGATATGTAATGTGTAGGTTTTCCTTGAGACGCCGCGGAGATCTTCGACCAGAGCCAAATGCCCCATCAGCTCTGGTCTGTCTCCACTGCTCGTCTGCGTCTTCGCGCGTAGCGCGCTACCTCGCTACCCCAAACGCGGAGCGCGGGCATTTGGCTGTGGTACCTTTTTCTTCGTTGTTTCGAACCCAATTTTAGCAAGCTATATATCACCAGTGCGTCACCTCTGCTTCGCAGAGGCTCGCACTGGCTCTACTATCTATGTGCGTTACTCATTCTCGTAGAATTGTGGCACTGGAACTCACCGCACTATGCCTACTACCACGAATAAAATGTAAACAACTACTCATTTAAAAAGCTTTTTCACGTGAGATCCGTGATTCGCGTAGATGAAACTTTTCACAGGAAGACAAACGCAAATTTGAATAGGTTTTTGAATTTGTCATGGCTTGGTTGTCGCCATAAAGGCAACAGCAGTCGTGAGCCACATCTCTGTGCGAAAATCTTCTGAAATGCTTGGCTAGAACCTTGGCAAATTGACCATTTACGCAACCAATTCTTTTTGGCGCCGTTTTCCACTTTAGGCTAAAGTCCATCGTTTGCACATTTGCTGACCAAACACACCCACGACTTTGCAAAAAGTGGTGATACGGACCCAATTTTGCGGGACAGAAGCCAGGTGGATCCGTTTGGCGCGCAATTTCTGAGGGATCCACTCAACGAATCTACTTGTGCTTTTGAATGTCAGACTTTCATGAAGGGAGCAGGCGCTATGCAAAATTTGGGCTTAGAACACTGGCTGGAACACGCTCTACGAATTTTGTAACAGACGGGCACACACACACACACACACACACACACACACACACACACACACACACACACACACACACACACACACACACACACACACACACACACACACACACACACACACACACACACACACACACACACACACACACACACACACACACACACACACACACACACACACACACACACACACACACACACACACACACACACACACACACACACACACACACACACACACACACACACACACCTTAGCCCGTTATTATAAGGTCTTGAAATTGAAGCTCTTGATCTCTACTTTCACGCTGACAACGTCCCAAAACTACATTTTTTGATTGAACGAGAAATCCGGCAAAAACCTTGTTTTCGAAAAGCTCTTGTTTCTCCCCTAGTTTAACTCTTCTCGCGCAGTTTTTCCATGCATTCTATAAATCTTGCTTTTGTTCATAATGCAGACAACGACCCCGTGCTTATCTCTTTAAGGCGGAATTTTTTGTGAAAAATTGTAAAAAGTGCTTTTTCTTTGCTTTGTTCTGTTTCAGTGCTTTCGCACGATTTTTTCCCAGCTTGGACGATTATTGCTCAGAATAGTGAGCGCACAATCTAGACAACGTCTCAAATAACGGAAACCACAATGCGGGGTGACAATTCAAAGGACGCACCAAAAACTAGGTTGGCTTTGACGCGCATTTCGACTTAGTAAAAGCAAAACTCAATTATTTACAAAACCAGTTCCTTTCTTGTTTATTTTTTCTTGATGAAAACTACTTCTGAAACATGATATTTTTGAAATAAACGCAAAGAAAAGACTAGCTTTTCCTCGTTTTCCCCCGGATTTTGGATTATACGGTGCTGGAGCGAAAACCTGCAATGCCGCCAAATGAGAGTTTTCAAACTTACTGCAGCGCTTCTTTCCGATTTTCAAGAGATTCTTTTGCTTTTACCAAATATTTTGCATCTTTTTTCTTTTCTGGTTTCATATAAACAGCCTTCACTTTTGAGGCCCTGTCTCTAGACTATTGAAGGTATGTTTTGAACATGTTCGTTGTTCGTCTTGTAGATGAGAATGTTTGAGGGACAATTACATTAGAAGCTTGTTTAGTCGAAGTGGCCCTTCTAAATGAGATATGTACCATATTGAAGGGTATAAAAAGAAGATTCCAAATCTGCCTTCCTTATCTGCAGACCGTTTATGGACGAGGGGTTATGAAGGTTTTTGTAGCGAAATATTTGATGTGCTTTTTGGATCAAATGAGTTGCTAAAATCTTACTAACCCTTAAATAATGCAACCAAGTGTGATATTTTATGGAGTTTTTTTTGAATAAAGTGCTTTGATGATTATCACTGCTCTATTGAACAGTTACAAAAGTATTGCGGCTATCTTTGTCCTACCTGCACAATCAATTTTTAGCTTCAATGACCGCACATAACTCCTCGTCCATAAATGTTCTGCAGATAAGAAGGGCATATTATTGTTAGTTATCTGTGGCCATC